CACTGGCCAGTGGGGGTGCTTCTACCACCCCCTTCACCACTGCTGTCACCTGGTGGAAATCTATGTCCAGGAGCAGGTGGGGAAAGAGGTGGACCGTCCTTGCAGACTTTTCTGATCTAAAACGCACTGAACAATGTCTTCCAGCTCAGCCATTCCAGAAGCTTTGGACCGGCGCTCTGGGATCTGATGCACCAAGGAAAATGATACAGTCCCTGCTTACTCATCCATCTCCCATTGGTTCTCAGCCGGCTCAGAACCCAGAGCGGGGTGGGTGGGCTTAAACAGCCCCAGGCCATCCACAGGGCCGCTCACGGTGTCCCCGCTGCTGGTGATGGCCCCTCCAGTGCTGTCTCCTTCCTGCTCCCCTCTCTTGCTCTCCTGACCGACTATCCCGTGTGCCCCCTCTCCACCGTGTGCGCCCTGCGGGCTTGCGCTCGGGGGGTTGTCCCCGGCGTTTGTCCACCTCCCTTGACTCATGCAACTCACAGTCCAGCTCCCTGAGCCAGTGCTGACTGGGTGTACCATGTCCATGCAGAGCGAAGCCTCTTGGGCTAGGGGCTGGGGGAGAGATGCCGTGTGGGGTCACCAGGGAGTCCAGGGGCTCAGGGGCCACCCTCGGTCCAATCGCCTGTGCCGGGGGCAGCAGGTCATGGGCAGGACTCGGTGACTTGTGGGTAAAGCGCCTTCAGGAGGGGACACAGAACATGGCAAAGACTGGAAGGGGCTGAAGGTCATGTGGTGAGGCGGGCAGATGGGCATGACGAATGAGGACGGCAAGCCTCATTCACCAAGCCTCACGCACCAAGAGCAAGGTGACAGGGGCAGCTGGGGGCTTCCTGCCAAGAGCCACCAAGGTGTGGGGAGGGGTGGTGTTGACTGTGGGGACAAGAAGGTCTTGGAGAGCCTGTGCTGCAGAGCTGGGAGTGTCTACCAATCGTGCTGGCTGGCTTCTCAACACATGGGTGCTGTGTTCCCAGATGCCTTTGCAGTTGGATGGAGTCACGTGACCACCTCTGGCCAATGAGTGGGACAGGCGGTGACACGTGTCCCTTCCGAGCCAAACCCTAAGATGGGCAGTGTGACTTGCCAGGCCGTCTTCCTCTTCTCATTCAAAGCAGTGAATTCTGCAGCTCTGGGTTCAGATTTCAGTGGCTTAGGAGGCACAGCTACCCTGGGAGAAGGTTCTAGAAAGAAAGGCTGGAGGCTGACATCTTCCCATCCCCTGGGTCCCAGGGCTCCTGACGCAGGCCCAGGTGGAGGCTGGTTCGGGAAGGCTGGTGCCAGTGGCAAACACCAAGGCTGGCGTGGAAAATGGGGCTGGACTTGGCTTGGGGCTTTGGGGTGGGCAGCTCCTTAGAACCTAGGACCACTGGAGCTCAGGTGGTGGGCATGAGCTCTGGGGCACACAGGCTAGCCTACCAAACCTCCAGCACCCAAGACAGTGCCAGGCACAGACAGTGCATGCTCTGAATGACCCTACACCCTGGGCACCAAGTGGCACTCCTCTAGACAGAATGACAGGTCCCGAGCCTACTGAGGGATCCAGTCTCTACGGTCAGGGCAGCAGAAGTTTCTAATCTTCTAGGTTTGTGCTATCTAACTGGAAGCTGCTAGTCACCTGTGGCTGCTTAAACTTAACTTCAATGAAAATTTAACTCCCTAGTCACACCAGTCACACTTCAAACGCTAGTGGCTGTCGTACTGGACAGAGTGGGTACAGAACATTTTGCAGAAAGTTCTATTGGGTTGGACTGTTCTAGACAAACTGACACCTGGGGAAACTTTGGGCTCTCATCTCATTACCAAATACTCCAGTGACATCCTGGGTCACAAAGCACTGCTGTAAAATTGTCAGCACTCTCAGAGGGAAAGTGTCAGTAAATAGATAAGAAGAATGTGCTAGAGAATGCTATTCAACATCCTGTGATGAACCATGATGGAAAAGAATGTGAAAAAGAATGTACATATGATTATAACTGAATCACTTTGCTGCACAGCAGAATTTAACACCACATTATAAATCAGCTAAAAAATCCTAAAGGAAATCAATCCTGAATATTCACTGGAAGAACTGATGCTGAAATTAAAGCTCTGATACTTTGACCACCTGACATGAAGAGAAGACTCACGAAAAGATCCTGTTGGTGGGAAAGATTGAAGGCAGGAGAAGGGGCCAACAGAGGCTGAGGTGGTTGGATGGCATCATTGACTCAATGGACATGAGTTTGAGCAAACACCAGGAGACAGTGGGGCAGGGAAGCCTGGTGTGCTGTGGTCCATGGAGTTGCAAAGAGTTGGACATGACTGAGCGACTCAACAACAACAATAAATCAACTATACTTCAATAAAATGAATTCTTAAAAATAACCAAATTAAAAGAAGAGAGAAAATACAAGATTTCCCCAAATAAAAGTGAAAGTGTGATCTGGGAGAAGAAAGAAAAAGAGAAGAATGTGTTGACATAGGGGCAGGCATGATGACCTCCGGGTATGGGTGGGGAAATTCCTGGAGTCAGCAGCGGGCCTGTCTGAGAGTTTGAGTAAACTCTGGGAGTTGGTGATGGACCGGGAGGCCTGGCGTGCTGCAGTCCATGGGGTCGCAAAGAGTCGGACATGACTGAGTGACTGAACTGAACTGAACTGAACTGAACTGTCTGAGGTGGGAACTTCAGAGCTGAACCGAGAGGGGAGAGTGAGGCTCCACCTGGAAAACAAACAGCAGCCCCAGGCCCTGGGAAGGAGAGTGTGTGTAAAAGCTCAGGGCTTGTGCCGAAGGAAGGCAGCATAGCTATGACTTATGGGAGGGGGCAGAGTGCTGGCCATAGAAGGTGCTGTTGGGACCTTGACATGATCTGACCGGTGGCCGTGAAGCATCATTGCAGCTGTCAGGTGGGAAATGACCTGCTCCCAGGCAAGACTGGGACCAGAATTCTGATTGGGAAGCTGCGTTCACTCAGGTGAGAGCTGAGGGTAGAGAGTGTATGGTCAAGGTGACCACGTACCTGGTTGGCTTGGGACAAGCCCGGTGTACAGTGTCCCAGGGCCATTGGTAACAACCACCTTCTAGTCTTGGGCTGTTTTCTGATCTGGATAATTCTGTGAAGGTGTCTGCTGAGATGGAGAGATGAAGAGATGAAGAGACATGCTTCGGGTGAATCCAGGACTTCTGATGGGCTGTCCTTGGGAGAGAGGGAAATGCTCTCATTTCTGACTTGCATCACCAAGTATACTAAGATGGGGCGCAGTATGTACATGTGGACAGGCTTTGGGGGCTTCATGAGAGTCATTACTGTCATTGCAATAAGATTAGAGATTGCTGTGGATTAAATTGTGTCCCCAGATTCACAACTGATGCCCAAATCTCTTGTGTGACGTAGGAGGGGGCCTCTGGGAGGTGATCAGATTGTGAGTGTGAGGTCCTCAACAAGGGGGTCAGTGCCCTTGTAAGAAGCTGGCTAGGTGAGAAGAGAGATGTTGTCTGCTAGCTGAGGACCCAGCCCACACATCTGGGAGCAGAAAGGGGCCTCTTGCCGGAACCTGGCCTGACCAGCACTCTGACCAACACTAAGAGAACTCGGAGTTTTGTTGTCTGAGGCTCCAGTCTGCAGTTTTGGTTAGAGCAGCCTGAGTGAACGGAGGTGGCGGTTACAGACTGTTTCATCCCAGGGCAGCAGCTGCTAACCTACTGGGCAGATGCCCGTCCTTTCCTTAGCCACGAGCTCCAACCAGCAGCCACAACCAACAGCCTGTTTGCGGATCCTGGGATGCCATCTCCAGCCCTGTATCCACTGCTGTCCCCTCAGCCCAGAACACCCATCCCTTTGTTGGCCTCCTCATCTGGTAAGACTTGCGTTTGGCAGTGCCTTCTCAGAAAGCCTCCCCTCTGGGGTATTTACAAGGCCTCCTTGGGGGACCTGCTCCAAAGGGTCAGTCTTATCATGGTCGGTGTGCTGGTCTGTCTTCCTGGCCTGATGGGGGCGGGTATCAGCATCTCTCCTGTCAGCACTTTGGCCTGGGTGAAGGGGACCTGGGTGAGGGGCTTAGGGCCCCAGCTCGAGGGGCTGCCTCTGACACGGCTGTCCTAGAGCCATCCCGAGGCCGACACGGGGTCTGTCCCCCGCCACCCCCGGCTCCGTGCCCACTTCCAGGATGACCACTTTTAGCGGATGCCCTCCCCAGGCGCTGGGGGAAGAAGGGGGACCGTGGCTGGAAATGACAGGCGTTTATAAGAAGCGGCTTTTCACTTTCACAAGTTAGAATACATCATCCTTTATTTTTTCCAGGCTCCCCTGGTCCGACAAGACGCTCACTAGTGAGAAAATAGGGGTTTCCAGCGGCTCGGGCTCAGATCGCGACGCGGAGGGAAGCATATGCTGGGTGCTGAGAAACCCCCTCCCTGGCCAAGCCGCGCTGGAGAGCCGGACTACAGGGGCGGAGTCACGCGGACGGACGGACGGACGGCCAGGACGCACAGAGGGACGCGGGGCACGAAGGCGGGGCCCACACTCCGGGCCGCCGTGCAGCGTCTCGCAGGCCCCTCGATGCAGTGTGCGAACGTGCAGGTAACCACGCTCTATCCGCATGGCTGGCAGGTCTCCCTGCCGACTCGGCCGATCTCAGCAGCATCTCCCATCCCGTCTTCCCGGAGGGTCCGGGTGCCGTCGGTCTCAGGACTGGCCACCAGCCTTCCCTCGCTGGGGGTTTTACGGGGAGAGGGGGGCAAAGGGGGACTCCACCGGCCACGTGACGAAGAGGGTGCGCTGAAAGCTGCATCAAGCGTTATCCGGGACCATGGGAACCCTTTACTGGGGGGCTTTGGCCATCAGGGGAGGATGTTTTCTGCAAGAGTTGGAAAACGACAGCGAGAAACAGTGTGGCCGTACTTAAGGTGTCCTTACAAACAGCGGTACGGGGTGTGTGGGCGGTGGGTTCTGCCTTTCGGGGTGCCTGTGTGACAGGCCAAAAAGCAAAAAAAGAAAAAAAAAAGAAAAAGCACAAAGGAAACAGACAAGAGTCTTGTGTATTAGGAACACACACGAAACCTGAAACACAGATGCGAAGGTGGAGAATAAGGCTGGCGCGCTCCCTTTCAGCGGGACCATAAAATTAAACTCTTTATATATGTCGTCTTTGTGTTTAAGTAGGCTCTACTCTTTAACAAAATAAAAACTTCTGTGTTAACTTTAAAGATATCGTTTAGGCATCTAAGGGATGACCTGGAAGAGGAACGCGGCGCATGGGATCCCCCGCAGAAGGTGCGCCTTCGGGTTGAAGGTCCTCCCTGAACACAGATTCATCATGAAGGCTGCAAAACTTGCCCCCCATGCTTCTGACAGCCCCGGGGAGGCCCAGGCGGGGGACGGGGGCCTGCGTGCCGGGCCATGCCTCCCAGGCTGAGCAGGGAAGCGGGGCCATGGACACCGGGAGCAGGGTGCCCACACCATGACCCGTCAGCGCCCGTCACTGATGAAGCCCCTCAGGCGTCCACTCCCTTCCTGTGTACCCGGGGGTCCAGTGCGGGGAGGGCACTGCAGGGAGGCGGGAGGGTGGGCTGCGTGAGTCTAAGTGGTCCTGCGTCTGCGGGCAGCGACCTCGCCGCATCCTCCTTCCTGATGGCAAGCGGCAGCGGGGCAGGACAGTGCAAAGCCAGGGGTCCGGGCGGCAGACTAGGCGTGGGGGCGGTGCTGGCAGAAACCAGAAACGGGGGCTCTACCTGCTGTGGGACCTCCTCCCGCTCCCAGTCCCCCCCAACCGGCCCTCCCCAGGCGCCCACCGCCCGCCCGCCCACGGTGGACACAGAGAAGCCAGAGCCGAGGGCAAGAGGAGGGGGGTCTGGTGGTTCCCGCAGGCACGCCTGTGGGCAGGGCCCCCCACCCCCCAGCAGCGTCAGAACAGCAGGGCTTTCTTCTTGAGGTCGTTCCTCTTCCAGAGGGCCAGGCGGTCGAACTCTTCCATGCTCATCCCAAACACTTCTCGGAACTCCTCGGGCGACAGGTGTCTCTGCAAATGAAAAGGGCACCCCAGAGGGGAACAGTGAGCAACCTGGCCAAGTGCCCCCGGAGGCGGGACCTGCAGAGAGGATGGGGGGGGTCTCCCTGGGCACACCTGGCTCCCCAGCTTCCCTCTGCATCCCCACCAGTCTGCTCTGCAGGGCACAGAAGCTGGCCCAGAGGAAAGAGGGATGGTGAGGGGACCCACAGTGAGCAGCTGCCAAGCAGGGGCCAGAGCCCTGACTCCCGACACCTGCAGAAGCGTCTCCCACCGCAGACTGAGTGCAAATCAGGCCTGGAAATGGTAGGGAGTGTGCACACGTGGTCACCTGTACCGTTTCATGTCCTTCTCACTGCTGCTGTCTGAGCAGGAAGTGTCCCCACGGCTCGCACGAGGACACGGAGGCAGACAGACCTAGGCCTCACTTCAAATCCTCCCTTTCCCCCCACCCCACCTCTGGTCTGTGACCCCAAGCGAGCTTCCTGTCTCTCTGAGCCCCAGTCCTGGGTGGCGCAATGGGGAAGCAGTGTTAAGGGCACCAGCGCCAGCTAGCCCCCTGGAGTCTCAGCCTACTCACATGTAAATGGGGTCACCCTGGCACCCCCCAGAGTTGTGGGGTGAACAGGTCAGCACAGGTCAGCTCCCAGGGCAGGAACAGTGAGCCCTGGGCAGGAACAGTGAGCCCTGGGCACAGTTATTATGATCTGAGATAGAGCCACCTCTGTCGCCACTTGACACCACCTGAATTCTAGCCTCTTCCTTGCAGGTGTCTGCTCCCTTCACCCCAGGTCTGTCTTCCTCAGCTGGTGCTGCATAACTTCCTCTTGTCCTTCAAGACCCAGCTCAGGTGGGCATGGCACCCTCTCCTGGGGGGCTTCCCGGGAGGAGTGAGGCCAGCCCCCCCCCAGCCCGGGAGGAGCTGGGGAGAAAGTGGAAAGGGGGAGGGCAGCCTGCAGCAGGAGGGGCCGAGCTCCAGCCCCAGAGGACCTGGTTCAGAACCCCCTCCTGCCCCACGGAAGAGGTGTGGCTTCTGCGTGGCTGCGTGGAAACCAGCCTGGCCGTTCCTCTGCACGCTTAGCAGAAGCACCGCAAGACCCAGCAGATCCCAAAAGACCAAAACCAGGGACTCGCATGGGTACCTTCACACCCATGTTCACAGCAGATTATCCACACCGGTCCCAAACCGGAACAACCCAAGTGCCCGCTGAAGGACAAAGGGACACACAAGACTTGGTCGATTCAGACTCCGGAACGTGGCTGATGAGTACTCAGGCGCGTCTGCTGCTTTGCGACTCCACGGACTGTAGCCCGCCAGGCTCCTCTGTCCATGGGGATTCTCCAGGCAAGAACACTGGAGTGGGTAGCCATGGCCTCCTCCAGGGGATCTTCCCGACCCAGGGATCAAAAACCTGGTCTCCTGCACCTGCTGCATTGGCAGGCAGGTTCTTTACCACTAGTGCCACCGGGAACATGATTCATCCATAAAAAGTCGGGAAGCTCTGATCTGTGCTACAACATGGATGGGCCAGGAAACAGGCTAAATGAGTTCATTTGTAGGAAACATCCAGAGTGGGGAACATCCTCAGGGACCACACAGCTCAGTCATTGCTGACATCTGGGAGAGGAGGGGTCTGGGGAAAAGCTGATCAGTGGGCGGGCAGTTTCCCCCTGGACCCAACACCCACTTTCTAGAATTCCGCAGAGGTGGTGGAGGTCACACAACACTGAGAGTGTGCTAAAGGCAGTCAACTGCACACTTTAAAATGGCTGCGATTAATATGAAATTACAAGAAAATGCTCTAATATGCTTTCATTTCTACTGTCATTTAATATTTGAAACAGTACTTATTTCATTGTTCCTGCATAAAATTAAACATCTAAATTACTTTTATAATAAAAATAATCAAATCTAAAAAATAAATAAAATGGCTGCAATTATGAATTTTATCATTAAAAAATCCAGTTCCTGCCAGAAAAAAAAAAAGAGTGCTCTCTTGAATTTAAAAAACACATCCTACTAAAGGTTACTACTAAAGGTTACTAAAGGTTACTGATCGAGAGAGAAAATGGTATGAAGACCCGTGGGGAGCTATGGAAAGCAGAAACAATCATCACCGCCAGGCATCTCTCTCACAGAAGTCACAGCCCTGTGTGACTTGCACTGTTTTGGAGCCCAGTCACTGGCATGATACGGGGGAGGGGACTCAAGGGACGCTTTTATGCTGAATCACAGAGAGTGTGAGTCGCTCAGTCATGTCCAACTTTTTGCGACCCCCATGGATGCTCCTGGAAGCATCCCAGGCTTTGTGGTGAAGGCCCACGGCCTGTGGTTGCCCGGCTTGCTGGGACTGGCCTGTCTTGATTCCCCCGCAGGGCTCTCCTAGTCCCACCACCTCACCAAGCTCCGATGCCCACTGCAGCCCACCAGCCACCACCAGGCCCCCTGCTCCAGGTGGTGCTGAGTGGGTGGGCTCAGGCACAGACCCCCTCAGCCTGTGACTCTAGGGGCTGTGTTCCTTCAGAGTCTGGGTCCCACAGTGCATCCCCACACTGTCACAAGTCACAGGGAGGCCCTGTCTGTAGAGGGGACTCCTGCTGAGCAGGGTCCATGTTCCTTGTTCCTTGACCTCATCACACAATGACATCATCACCATGGTGACATCATCACATCATCCTGACATCATCACCACAATGGCATCATCACCATGATGACATCATCACCATGACAACACCATTGTTGTCATAAGGACAATGGCCCCTGCCATCTGTGGAGTGTTCCTCTGAGCCAGACAAGGGCTAGAAGCTCTCCACCACTGGCTTGTGACCTTGCCATAGCTTACTGGGTAGGATGGGGATGGAAGCTCTGAGATGTGGACTGATGTGCCGCCAGGTGGCCCCGAGGCCCTGCATCACCTCTCTGCCCCATGGCAGGCATCTATAAGTTCTGAAACATGCCAGGCTCTCTGCCACCCAGAGCCTGCAGTGCTCTTCCCCCACTTCACAGAGCAGTTCCTCCTCCTTCTGCAGGTCCCAGCTCAAATGTCCCCTCCTCCCGGGGGCCCTCCTGGGTTGCACTAGCCAGGCAAGCAGGCCCCGCGCCATGTGTGTCCCTCAGTACTGAGCACAGCTGACCTCGTCTGTCTCAGCCCCTCTAGGACAGCATGGGCCTGATTCCTGTCCTCATCCAGGGATGATCCATGCTTTTGCATCCCTGAGTCCAAATCTGCCTCTCACTTCCCCAGTCACGCTGCCTCCCAGCTCCCCCTCTCCAGCAGGCCTGCCCTTCTCTTCGCAGGCCTCCCTCTTCCCTCCCCACCCTCCACCCCTAAAGTCCTACCATCTGTCCTGGCCTTCCATGACGGCTCCTGTTTGCTCTCTGTGTCTCACCCGGAGGCTCTGGCAGATGCGTCTCCCACGCACGTCCGCGTGGCTGGGAACAATCACCATCAGTCTGTTGAGTTCTTCTGAGACCCATCAGACCGGTCGGATGAGTCGAACAAAGGATGTATTCTTTAACCTCAGGACCTCGGGTTTCAGGTGCATTCCTACAACTGGGGCTTTTCTGCTTGGGCAAACTCAGGTGTGCGTTTAGCCCCAGGGTCTGGCAGAGGCACTCTTGAAACCACGGCTCCACCCGGGGAGCTGCTCAGCCCTGCCTCTGCCAAGAAAGGAGCACCCTGGGGACCACAGCCTCCAGGCCTCAAGGAGGACACACCCTCCTTCCCCACCTACTCATCCGCCAGCCTTGCTCTCTGCAGGAGTCAGCCAGGCCAGGCCCGGCCCTGATGCCCGGCTGTTTGGCCAAACAGTCCAGGGGTGGTGAAGGTATTCTACCACATGGTCATGCCTACAATCAGCCTTTAAGTGAAGATGCAGTGGCTGCTTCCACTCTGCCGGGGCAAACACTGAGGGCTTCCTGGAGGATGAGGAATTCTGCCTCTACGTGTCAGCTCCACCCTGAGTGTCCAGCCGGCTGTCCTGCCCCGCGGATGCCACACTTGCCAGCCCCACAGGAAGCCAATTCCTTAAGTTAAATTTCTTGATGTTGGATTGGCCAAAAAGCTCATTCCAGTTTTCCATAACATCTGGCTGAAAAATCCAAACGTACTCTTGGGCCAACTCGATACTTGCCCGTCTGCATCTCTCTCTGTCTGTCTGTCTACCTGTCTGTCTCCTGTTGGTTCTGCTGTCTCTCTGGAAGGCCCTGGTTGACATACTTTCCTACCTAAGGAGCAGACTGTGTGTTCTGGGAGGTTGGTGTGTGGAAGAGGGGTTAGAAATCAATATTCCATACTGTAATTAATCCGGGAAGATGCACAGCAGAGTGGTCCCGCGTGACATCTTAACCAGAACTCCACATCTGCTTCCTAGAAGCTGCAAGGCCTGGGGACATCCTCCAGCCTTCTCTGTACCCCCTGCCCCAAACTTCCTCTGTACCCGCTGCACCGAGTTGTGAGAAGTGCACCAGCATGTCAAGTCCTTGGAACAACTTGGTGGTGATGATCAAGTGCTTATTAAATAAGCCAAATCTGATAAACTCTCAAACATCCTGCTTTTTCCCAGTACCAGGCATCCAGGAGGGACTCCCCTTCTGCGGGTGACCCAGCCTGTGCCTGACCCTGCCTCCATTCACCCCGCCCACCTTGCTTTTCCGTGAACTTCTCAGCAAGCACTGTCTGGCCCGCCCATAGCACTCCTTTTCCATGGAAGCCTTTCTCTAATTCTACTGGCCCACGTGGCTGTCAGGTTGGTAAAGAGGGGGTGACACGGACAAAACAATTGAAACTGCACATCACATCTGCCTAGAGCTAGCTCATGGCAAGCGCTCCCGACTCCTGAACAACTGAATAAACACCCACACTGCCCAGCCGGACTGGCACAGTGATGTCATCTGACTCAGAGTGGCTAACTGGTCCAACGTCACACAGCTAGAAACATGATGGAGACTGATTCACACCCAGGTCACCCAGACCTGAGTTGTTCTCTCCCCGCACCAGGTGCCACCTTTG